TTTATTTTTATTTATTTATTTTTATTTATTTAGTTATTTACTAGAGGCCTGGTGCATGAAAATTCATGCACTGGAGGGGGGGGTCCCCTCAGCCCGGCCTGCCCCCTCTCACAGTCCAGGAGCCCTCAGGGGCGGGAGATGACCCAGCAATCAAGGGAAGGTGACGCCCCATCACACCTCTGCTGCTGCCACTGCCGGCAGTGCAAGCCTCGGCCGGCCCTGGTTACCTGAGCCTTGGGTGACCCTGGGCAGCTTGGGGGCTGAGGGGACTGGGGGACTCTGGAGGCAGGCGTGTGGTGGGGCTGAGGGGACTGGGCGCTGCCATCATTGAGGGTGTGGCAGTTAATTAGCATATCCCTCCTTATTGACTGTGGGGGCTGCCATCTTTGCAACGGTGTGAGGGTCAAATATAGGATTAAAATATATTTTATTGATTTTTAACAGAGAGGAAAGGAGAGGGATAGAGAATTAGAAACATCGATGAGAGAGAAACATCAATTCAGCTGCATCCTGCACACTCCCCACTGGGGATGTGCCCACAACCAAGGTACATGCCTTTGACCGGAATTAAACCTGGGACCCTTCAGTCCACAGGCCGATGCTCTATCCACTGAGCCAAACCGGTTAGGGCTGGTTCCAGATTTTAAAATATATTACATAACTAAATGATATATCTACAAATTATAACATGCAGAACAGTATTCTTTTTGTTTAATCCTCACTCAAGGATATTTTTTTATTAATTTTTAGAAAGAGGAAGGAAGAGAGAAGGAGAGAGAGAAATATCGATGTGAGAGAGAAACATAGATTAGTTGCCTCCCCTACGAATCCTGAGCTGGGATTGAACCCACAAACCTTTGGGCGTATGGGACGATCCTCCAACCAGCTAAACCCATGGCCCAGAAGAGTATTCTTTAAGCTTAAGAGTGTCACACTTTCTAAATTTACTTAAGTTTGGCATTTAAAGTTGTATCTTGGCCCTGGTCACCTGGACACCCGCTGGGTAATTCAGTTGGTTAGAGCATTGTCCCAATACAACCAAGGTTGTGGGTTTGATCCCCCATCAAGGCATATAAAAGAATCAACCAATGAGATTCCAGGATGGCTACAGAGTAACTGGAAGCTGCTCAACATCACTAATTAAAACCATAATGAGATACCATCTCACACCTGCCAGATTGGCTACCATTATAGTATTAAGTCAACAAACAACAAGTACTGGCAAGGATGTGGAGAAAAGGGCATCCTCGTGCACTGCTGGTGGGAATGCAGACTGGTGTAGCCACTGTGGAGAACAGTATGGAGTTTCCTCAAAAAATTAAAAATGGAATTGCATTTTGACCCAACAATCCCACTTCTAGGAATATATCCTAAGAATCCAGAAACACCAATCAGAAAGAATATATGCATCCCTGTGTTCATGGCAGCATTATTTACAACAGCCCAAGTGCCCATCAGTAGATGAATGGATTAAAAAACAACTGTGGTACATTTACACAATGGAACACCACATGGCTGTAAAGAAGAAGGAACACAGACCTTTGTGACAGCAGGGATGGACCTTGAGAGTATTATGCTGAGTGAAATAAGCCAGTCAGAGAAAGACAAATACCATATGATCTCACTCATATGTGGAATCTAATGAACAAAATAAACTGATGAACAGAAAAGAACCAGAGGTATGGATACATGGAACAGACTGACAGCTGTCAGAGGGGAGAGGGTTGGGAGGAATGGTGAAAGAGATTAACCAAAGAACATATGTGCATAACCCATAGACACAAACAACAGTGTGGTGATGGCTAGAGGGAAGTACGGGTGGAGGCTGGGTGGAGGTGGGCAAAGCAGGGGTGCAGGGGAGGGAGATGGCGACATAGTGTCAACAATAAAAATAAAGTTAAAAAAAGAAACTACCAATGAATGCACAAATAAGTGGAACAACAAATTGATGTTTCTCTCTCTCTCTCTCTCTCTCTCTCTCTCTCTCTCTTCCTCTCTAAAATAAAATTTTAAAAAAAGAATGTTTTTTTATTTAAAAAATACATTTTTATTGATTTCAGAGAGAAGGTAGATGGAGAGAAAGATATAAATGTCAATAATGAGAGAGAATCATAGATTGGCTGCCTCCTGCACTCTCCCCACTGGGGATCGAGCTGGCAACCCCAGCATGTGCCCTGACCTGGACTGGAACCCTGACCTCCTGATTCATAAGTTAACGCTCAACCACCGAGTCATGCTGACTGGAAGAATGTTTCTTTTAAAGTTGTGTCTTGCACATGGAAAATACTTACAAGATGTGAACCTTAATTTGATTTTACTCTTGTAGATGAGTCTTGGGGACAGGATTGACACTTTGCTAGAATCTAGCAGTTGTATTCCAACCAGGTCATACCATTAGTCTGGGTTCTCTTGAAAGCTACAGAGAATAAAGTTTGAAAACTAGCTCCTTTGAAGATGATTGCTATGAACAATGTGAATGCTTACTTTCTTTCAAGACTTGATCTTGCTTTCTTTTTTGAGAAATGTTTTGTGGTTTCTAAAACCAGTGATAATGAGTATTGAGAAACAAAGTAACGCAGTTAAAACAAAACCCATAACCATTGGTGTTCTAATGGGCTTAACATTGGTGTTCAATTATGGATTTTCAAAAGTGTAAAGGTCTTTCAAATATTATTTACTCTACTCTCAGAGAAAATTCTTGAATCCTCTCTACATCATCAGTATTTTATTCTATTTCCGCTAAGGGTTAAACATCTGAGCAATGTTTTCTCAGAACAGAGCTGGACATAAAGGGCTTGGGGATTTTCAATGGACCCGAACTAGAACCACCCACTGCTCCAGAGGCGGTGGGTGGATGCCAGTATATAAGAGCCAACTGCAAGTGCTGGGAGAAAATGCGGGCTGGCAGGCAGGACCCAGACTCTCATGGCTGTGGAGAAGTGTCACAGGGACAGAATGATCATCGGAGTCTATGGGATCCATGATGAGGGAGCACAGGGGTGGCAACCCCAGGGGATGGTGTTTGCAGACACAAGCTGACAGGATAATAGGTCAGGATGCAGCTCAGGCTGTAATGCGTTTCAGGGCAGGACTGCAAACTACATATTCTGGTCTATAAAGACCTTAACCCTGACCTCAACCTGCAGCGCTGCCCTCATGATGGGCCACTTTCCTTCTCACCTCAGTACTCCCATCACTTTCCAACCACTGCATGCCACACTCCTTGGCACTCCAGAGCCTTGGTCATTCAGATTTATTGTTTCTTTTTTCTGTTTAGATTTCTGCTTAAGTGCCCTCTACTTATGGAGGCTTTCTCAGGACATTCTCTACCACACAGTTCTATCCTAATTTTCTGCATAACCTTGAGAACTTTCCCTTTATTATCTATATCCTCTCCACTATAATATACATGGGCAAATTATTCCTGCTGTATTCAATAATCCTAGTCACATGAGCATGGAAAGGCAGAGGTTTTGTTTTGTTTTGTGTAAGATTACAGAGATGATAGTCAGAAGTGATTTGCTTCAAACATGCAATTTTGCTGCCAGTGTAGAGGGAGCCTGGCAGACTTGGTCTAATCTCAGAGAAGATGGCACCCACTGCTTGACAATGAGGACCCTGATCTGGGGACAACTTCTGAAGACGCAAAAGAGAGCATAACTGTTCATCAAAATGCTATAGAACGGTAGTCTTGTACCAGATACAGGTGGTGGGAGGTAACTAAGACGGCATCAAGTTGGACTAAGAAAAGAGTAATACATTTCTTGCCCCTTCTCTAACAATTCACTTGGTTCTGTAGGTTACTAATTCTTCCCAGATAGATAAAGCAAACCTAGTTGATGGGTGCCAATAGCGACCAGTTCATAGTGACCTGCCCACCTAGACTCCATATCCAAAAACCCTCCTGGTGATGAGGTGGACAGTTAAGGGCACACCAGTTCTCTTAAGGTAGTAGAGAATTGTTGCATCACTGGATATAATCCTTGGTCTAAAACTCAGCATTCATCCGAATTCTTAAATTATGTTCAACAGTTATTTGTTGTCTAATCTCAAAGTTGCAATGTAAGAGGTAATCGCTCACATTGAGTATTCATTTAATAGGCACACCCTGTATGTAAAGGTGCTTGACAAATGCTACTCAATTTACTCGGCTCAACAGTCTTGAAAAGTGAGCACTATTATCCTGCTTTTACAAACGAGATGCTGAGTTTTAGAGGCACTAACTTATCTCACACACACACACACACGCACTGCACCTAACTTCGAAGTACACCTTACCTGCTCTGGAGCCACACAGAGTCAGGTCAGTTTCACAGACGTGGTTACAGTTTGTGTCAGAGCCATGCTGCTTTGAAAAAACTAACGGTAGCAGCTACATGTTAGTTAGATGTAGCTGCAGTTTGAAATGTTTTTGGTTCAAGTGATATTTTTTAAAATATATTTTTATTGATTTCAGAGAGGGGAAAGGGAGAGGGAGAGAGAGCTAGAAACATCAATGATGAGAGAGAATCATTGATCGGCTGCCTCCTGCATGCCCTACACTGGGAATGGAGCCCACAACCTGACCGGGAATCGAACCCAGACCTCTTCATTCATAGGTCGACACTCAATCACTGCACCACGACGGCCGGGCTCAAGTGGTATTTTTGAACAACCGTATACTCCTCCCCAGTCCCCATTGATCAACTTGGTGGTCACTGAGTAAGAATTTTTTTTTAAGAGAAGTAAGCTTTATTTCCTTGTTTCTCAAATAGAGTTGGCTGAGCTGGTTGCTTTTCGGTAATTAATCAAAGAGACCAAATCCCATATCCTCGTCTGACTTCTCCGACTGAGTAAGAATTTGACACTCCTCCAGGTATCCACAGTATAAGGATATACCTGAAAAAAAAAAGGCAAAAGTCAATATAAAATATAATGTATTTAATCTAATGTCCTTTATGTCCAGTGGGAGATCAGGCAGAGGAGAGAACAAGGTGAGTGATGTGGGGGTTCTGTCCAGAAGAGGGACAGGAAGGACACAGACATCAGGGAGATGGTAGAACTTGAGCTGGGCTTCATTGTGAATTAGCTTATGAAAGAGAAACCAGGAATCTGTGTTTCCTGTAAATGATCAGAGGGTTTTTTGGTAACTGTTCCTTCAGGCTTAGGAACTAGGTGGCCGCAATCAAAGAAACGGTTTTCCCCAGTTTGCCCAAGTTAGAAGTATTGTTTGCTTTGGGAGGCTGCATTGGGGTAGGAAGGGTAAGGAAAATCCCCTGGTTCGTTGTCAGCTGGGTGGAAACAAATGTTACCATGGAACAGAGTCCACCTTCAATCAGAGTTCATGCACTGGGGAGGAAGGTCACCAATGCAGCAGCCTTGAGAAATGGGTGGGCATTGGGGAGGCCAATGGTGTATGTGGTCGGGTCTGCTTTTCAGTCAGGGCTGGTTTCCTTGAGATAAGAAAGCGAAAGCTCTGGGCCAGAGAAGTCCTCTTCCCTTTTTAGGAGTTGCGTCTTAGCAGAGTGGAAAACCCCAGACCCCAGGACACCGAAAGCATCCCAGGCGCAGGGCAGCCAAGAGGCAGAAGCATCCAGACCTGTCCGCTGCGCCTGGGCCATGGAGTCAATGAAGAAGCTGCAGACGGTGCTGGACCTGTACCTCAAGCACCGCATCACGCTGGGCTATGGCCTGGTGACTCTTCTGACCGTGGGCGGGGAGCGCATCTTCTCCACCGCGGTGTTCCAGTGCCCCTGCAGCGCCGCCTGGAACCTGACCTACGGGCTGGTGTTCCTGCTGGTCCCCGCGCTGGCGCTCTTCCTCCTGGGCTACGTGCTGAGCGCTCGCACCTGGCGCCTGCTGACCGGCTGCTGCAAGCGGGGCGCCGACGACTA